AAAAGTATTTGAATGAAATTTGATACATAGGCACTTGGAATAAAGGAAAATCAAACGCCAATTTCAAAATTTGGTTTTGCGCATGCGCAGTGCCAACTTTTTTATTTATGGAAGAATTTAAACGAAATTTGATACATAGGCACTTGGGATAAAGGAAAATCAAACGCCAATTTCAAAATTTGGTTTTGCGCATGCGCAGTGCCAACTTTTTTATTTATGGAAGAATTTAAACGAAATTTGATACATAGGCACTTGGGATAAAGGAAAATCAAACGCCAATTTCAAAATTGGTTTTGCGCATGCGCAGTGCCAACTTTTTTATTTATGGAAGAATTTAAACGAAATTTGATACATAGGCACTTGGGATAAAGGAAAATCAAACGCCAATTTCAAAATTTGGTTTTGCGCATGCGCAGTGCCAACTTTTTTATTTATGGAAGAATTTAAACGAAATTTGATACATAGGCACTTGGGATAAAGGAAAATCAAACGCCAATTTCAAAATTTGGTTTTGCGCATGCGCAGTGCCAACTTTTTTATTTATGGAAGAATTTAAACGAAATTTGATACATAGGCACTTGGGATAAAGGAAAATCAAACGCCAATTTCAAAATTTGGTTTTGCGCATGCGCAGTGCCAACTTTTTTATTTATGGAAGAATTTAAACGAAATTTGATACATAGGCACTTGGGATAAAGGAAAATCAAACGCCAATTTCAAAATTTGGTTTTGCGCATGCGCAGTGCCAACTTTTTTATTTATGGAAGAATTTAAACGAAATTTGATACATAGGCACTTGGGATAAAGGAAAATCAAACGCCAATTTCAAAATTTGGTTTTGCGCATGCGCAGTGCCAAGTTTTTTATTTATGGAAGAATTTAAACGAAATTTGATACATAGGCACTTGGGATAAAGGAAAATCAAACGCCAATTTCAAAAATTGGTTTTGCGCATGCGCAGTGCCAACTTTTTTATTTATGGAAGAATTTAAACGAAATTTGAAATACCATAGGCAACTTGGGCTAAAAGGAAAAATCAAACGGCGAGACCAATTTCAAAATTTGGTTTTGCGCATGCGCAGTGCCAACTTTTTTATTTATGGAGAATTTAAACGAAATTTGATACATAGGCACTTGGGATAAAGGAAAATCAAACGCCAATTTCAAAATTTGGTTTTGCGCATGCGCAGTGCCAACTTTTTTATTTATGGAAGAATTTAAACGAAATTTGATACATAGGCACTTGGAATAAAGGAAAATCAACGCCAGTTTCAAAATTTGGTTTTGCGCATGCGCAGTGCCAACTTTTTTATTTATGGAAGAATTTAAATGAAATTTGATACATAGGCACTTGGAATAAAGGAAAATCTAACGCCAATTTCAAAATTTAGGTTTTGCGCATGCGCAGTGCCAACTTTTTTATTTATTTCTTATTTAGAAAAGCATTGAAATGAAATTCTTCTCATAAACTGAAATTGAAGTAGCACGTCAACAATGGATTGCCCATGTGCAACGCTATCTTTCATATTTGTGGCCGGATTTTTACGATTTTAACAGAAGTTGCATCTTACAAATGGGAAATGAATGCAAGTGGAAATGCGCTTTATGTAAATCGTTTACGATTACTTTTTAACTTGTTATAATTCCATCTTATTGATATCTTGATTATAGAGTTAAACAGGGCAGCCCGCAGTTCCATGCAAGGCAAATTATGTAACCTAGAAATTGAATGCTCTAATTATTATGTTTGTTTAGCAGCAACTTACAGTTGTTATAACACAACAATTACTCTTCTGTTTTTATAATTCTGCTGCTCAATTTGTTGAAAAATGCATATTGTACCTAATTACTTATAACCTAACTTTCTTGCTCATATACAGTTTACAGAGTGGTTGTTCAAGACAGCATCGACTTTCTTTTTGTTCTGTGAGACAGCAAATATAATGAGCTTTCGAAGTACTCTTTTGATTTTATTTTATATTAGGGTTATAATGTTTAGTGTTTTATAATTTATTTCTTTCTTGTCCCTCTCTTGTTCTGGGTCCCCAACAGGCTTGCGCCCAATTACAGAGTGACCACTGAGCTACATAATGGGTTGGGGTTTTGTTATTTGCTTTCTTACCAATAGTGAGAGTAGAATTCCTTTTATTTTTGTGATTGCAAATTATATTGAAATTAGCCTTTACTTTCCTTGCTCCGTTTTTACCCTCTTTCTAATTCTTTTGCTCCTTTAATCCTTTTCTCTACCCTATAATTGTTTGGTCGTTTATCTTTCACCCTGCTTTCTACGTTCTGTGTCTCATCTTTGGTTTCTTTGTAGCAGCCTTAAATGTCTGTTTGCTGTAAAAAATTTTCCGTCTTTTTATTACTTCCGCCTAGTGCCCGTTACTTTTTGATTTTCCCAAATTTTGTCCTTGATTGCGTGTTTTTGCTTCTTTTTATTGTCCGGATGCCATTCAATAATCGTCTCTAGTGCGTGCAAGAGGTGCGGAAGTTTCAATTTTGCCAGCCAAGTTTATTGGGATTTATCCTCGTTCAAAAATATATTATTTTGACACCCGCCCATAGTTTGGGGATCTAAATCATCAATTTATACACGCCGTCTTTATTTCCAAAAATATTTAAACAATCTTCCACTGTTTGTCTTATTTTCTACTTAGCTTCCTCGACAACAAGAGGGCTATTTTCTAATTTTTGGGCACGGCTCCCTAACAGGGAAATAAAAGTTAGTAGCGCCTGAAAGATAATCGCACACAATCATACCTACAGTCTCTCCGTGAGCAGCCGCAGCCGTGGTTAGGGCTATTAGTTTCCTTTTTTTGGTTTGTTTTGACTATTTTGATTTATTATATGTCCTTAACGCACGTTACAAATTATAAAATACAATGTTTCATGTATAATATTATTATACAGTATGTGATACCATTTTACTCATGTATTCTCTCTCAATCATATTTTTCTCAAATAATATGACATCAGCATGTATGGAAATGAGTACCTCATCAGTTTATAGTACAAAAAAAAGGAAACCACTTGTTAGCTGACACGACAACGTGGAAAAATGTGTTAGCTGGGTCGCTACACTTTGGATGCCCAGCTAACAGGTTTTGCCACATTTAAATATCAGCTGACAGTTATTTATCCTCTTTTTACATTGTACACTATTATATATACCATTTTCAGCTTTGCGAAAATGGTCCGAAAAACAATTTTTTTTTACGTCTTTCTCAGTCTCTCGCCATCTTAAGCCACGCTTTTGAACCAGCTGACGCCCCTATCGTTGATAGGTTATGGATCAAAAATCTATAGTAGAAAGATGAACTTTGCGAAAATGGTCCGGTCAAATAGGACGCTAGCTCCCGGACTATATGTTGTTTCCTGACATGTTGCAATTAGAAATAAAAGTTTTGTATATGAGATGTTTAATTACAGGTTATAAACTTTACACAGTTATTTTTTTTCAGGAAGACCCTATTGTTAATCGGTATCAAACGAGTTCTTTATTTTCTATCACATGTCGAACATGAGAGAGAAGTAGATGGTAGCAATTTTAAATAGTTGGAAATTGATTCACAAACTAGTTTCGTTCAAACGACTTTATGCATACTTTTTTAAAGTTTTTGCATGTAAAAATTATTCCACAGTTTTGATCTTAACCACTGAAAAAATGGCCATGGTATAATTTGACTTTGGTTTTTTCCATGACACAGAAAAAATACGGAGAGTTTTTATGGGATTTTCTTTGTCCGTACCACGACCGAAAAACGTTAAAAATACATTGTCATAATTCCACGTTCTTTAGCTATGATTTTGTACATAGATCTCCTTGACATTTTCAATTTAGGTGACCATATGAGTACTGGCCAACATATGTCAAAATCGTTATTTATTCGCAAATGACGTACAAATGTTACCAAAGTAAGGTTTTTCCTTCAATGAATGGCGTATACGATTCCCTATTCTGAGCACACAGTCTCAATGTAATTAAAGAAAGTGAAGATTTTAGTACGTGGAAGTACAGCCAATAAAATAATTAAATCTTTGTTCACTATTTAAGATGTACATACTATGTTTGAATATTTGAATTAGTAGAAGCCGACTGTAGTACACAATAAACGTCTGCAATAACAGTACCTACATGCAAATTCAAAAAAGCTCAATAAAATATCTAATCTATAGTGAGAGTTTAGCAAAAAGATGCGATTACACGTATCAGCGGAAATGTCAATTGATTTAACTTATCTATATGTATTCTTCACATTGACGTAACATCAATTTATCGGGGGTACCGGTAATGCGAACATTCTCGCAGATATAGAATATATCAACTTAATGCACAATTTGGAAACGATAATGAAGCGTGGGAAGTTTTGATAATAGCAATTAAGGTTCTGCTGACCTCACACTCTGCGAAAAATGTAAATGACAAAAAATACAGTACCAGTCGACCGAGCAGGTTTCAACGTCTCGATGGAAAATCTAATGACTTGTAATTTTTTTCCAGATGGTGAAAATCGAATGTTTGGTGTTTGGGCTAGTTTTAATCGGCGCAGTCCAAGCTCAAAATAAGTGCTGCAACCAAGGTGAAAATGTAGTGTATCGGAAGGTGTGTCAAAACGGGTCGAATATCACAGGAATCTCTTGCGATCGCATGTACATGATCGAACCGCCGAAGAACGGCAAGTTTAATATAGACTCCAATGGAACCCTGATTGATGATGATATCGAAATTTACGTGGAGGAGTAAGTGTCGAAAGTTTTCATACGCATCTAACGCAGCATTTCTAGATATTGCTTAACAAAGACAAACGACTCTGAAGACGTTATAGCATTGGTCTGCATGTATAATGACCCAACGGAAGAGTCTGAATTTTTCTACATATTCCGAGCCAGCTGTGCTGTATTGTCTGTGGTTTTCCTAGTTCTAACCATAATTGTATACATCTTAGTGCCAAGTTTACAAGATTTACAGGTAAGGTTTAAATTTACATCGTCTTTGTCTATGAGGCCCTTTTCAGGGGAAATGTATCATGCACTCAATAACTGCTTTGGCAATCGCTATGCTTTTTCTGGGCATTATGCAATTTGGAGTACAGATTTCGGAAAAAGTGTGCCAGATTGTTGGATACGTTACATTCATGGCATTTTTTTCAACCTTCACGTGGCTGAACACAATCTCGTTTCATATATGGAGAACTACTGTGTAAGTCAACCAAGTAAATGCGTGAATTGCGTAAAAATACAGCTACTTACAGAATGCCACACGCACACGCAAGTTCAACGCAGTGGTACCTCACATACTTAATCTATGCGTACGGTATACCATTACTAATGCTAATAATAGCACTTGCAGCCCACCACGCGCCCGGTAATCACATCAAACCTGGAATTGGAGACAGTGTTTGCTGGTTTCAAGGTAAGGCGTTTTTAGACTGAATTAGTACTACCCCCATTTTTAGGTAGGGAAGCAATTTGGGCATACTTTTACGGTCCAATATTGTTTCTGCTAATACTAAACGTTATTTTCTTCTGCTGGACCATCAAGGCATTATGGAGGGACTGCAGAACCATGCAGAACAGTTCTTCCAAGGTCAAATCGTTGAAATACAAGTGCGTATATCGCAAAAAGGCGTTCCAACTTATTGAATTTATTGCAGGTGCCTCTTGTACGTGAAGTTGTTTTTTATCATGGGACTGTCGTGGATATTTGAAGTATTATCCTTTGCATTCGATGATAAAGAGCATTTTATTCGATACGTGTGGTGAGTAGCGTAAATCTCAAGGAAATGTGGTGCCAGAAACAGATCAGAATTATTTCAGGAATGTGACAGACTTCATTAACTCCATGCAAGGGGTTTTAATATTTCTGATACTGATCATCTTTAGAAAGAGGGCGGTAAGAGAGTTGGCTAAACAGGGATTGTGTTGCATTCGCCTACCGGCAGAATGGAAAACTTTGCAAGATGAGGAGTGTGAAGAATTGTTCGACCAAAAAGAGTTTAGCATGGAGAACCATCCCGAAGAACACTTGTACAAAGAGAAGACACACGCAGTGCGCCATGAGGCGTGAACTTTAAAGAGTCTCGAAAAACACATGATGATGCGAGGTTGAGAAAAAGAATTTTGCATTGTTATATTGTAAATAACATTTCTTACATACATTTTTAACAAGAATGCGTATTTGGATTATTTGAGATGTTGCACGCCGAAATTTAAACTCTTACTTTTTAGCCTTTAGCTATATCAACTCGAGAAGTGTGTCAAGTTCAGTAGATAAATCAGACTTTGATAATTTGATTCAAGCCCACTGGTACTACGGTGACATTAGTAAATTACTGCTAAAACTTCGTGGTGGATCCAATACAAAATTATTATCTAATGGAACAAGGTAAACAGTTTCAATAACTTTTCTAGGTAATTCAGTGCATGGCATCATTGCCATAGTAACTTTCGTTAATCCTACAAATGAATGAAATGCGGGTATTTTGTTCGAATGCACAAGGTCTATAGAAATGCCTTGAACCCTAACCAAATTCATAAAAATTTTCAGTTTTTGACCAAAAAATCTGGAAAAAGATGATCGCTTTTTGCAGGTCTCTAAACTATGCTGAGTAAAATCAGCGAAGCCACAATGACCCGGTTAATTTTATTTTTGATAATGTGATACAAAAGCTACAAGTTAAATTTTAGTTGCATTACATGCTCTGGTTGAGTTTAGAACATACAACAGACATGTAAACTAATGTATTGACAATACGCACTGTTAGAGTACAACCGGATACAAAGAATTTAAAAGAGTAGGTACAAGATGTGGCATGCTACCAAAACAAAAATAGTTCAGCATCGCGTTATTTACTTAACATTTAAAAAAGTATTATTTCAGGTTCTTGTATAATTTTTCGAGTAAACAGTTGCCAGTAAATGATTTAAATTGACATTCTTTTTTAATCTTAAAGGGATCCATAGGTGGAGTTCAACGTTCTGTCGCAAAAGAAAATGACAAATCGATCACGGAATCTCATCTTGCGTGTTTTCAAAATACAATATTCTTGCAGTATTACCAAGGAGCCAACGAAACCACTTGCAATCGCAGCGAAATCGAATTAATCGCTTGAAATAGTTGCCGAAATTTCCATCACAATAGTCCATGGAGATCGCAATTTTCAAAGAAAATCATGAGATTTTCGTAATAAATTTTTTTGGTGAATTGAATATCTTTACAGGTTGGACCAGCATAAAATTTTACGACCGATTATTTCGGAACAAAAATAAAAATGAACGCACACGTGGATATTTAGATCGAGAAATATCGCAAATATTTCCACATTTTCTAATACATTTCCAACATTTTTAAAAACTTCTTATGGCCGTTTGTACCAATAAATTTAAGCTGAACTTAGCTTGAGCATAGCTTAAAAGTCATGGAAACGATTATTGCGACAGTGGCTGCCATGGATTTAATATACCTACGCTTAAACTAAGCTCAGCTTAACTTTGTCGGTGCAAACGGCCATTAGACATACATCTCCATATTTGGAAACTTTTCAAAAAATCATCTCGGCATTTCCTAAAATTCGACATTTCCGAAACATTTGATAATTTCAAAACAATTTTTACATTCTTACACATTTCCATCATTTCATTCCTACACAATTTTAGTATTACTCGCTCCAATTTTCTAACATTTCTCTCTGCAGATTTTCCAAAGTTCAAAAGTTTGCGTTAAATAGCTACTTTTGAAGCCGATAAGCGAAAATGAAAACAATCAATTGTCGCTATTCGTATTTATATGTATTTATAGTGGATAATAGTCGACAACCTGGGGACATCTACAATATAAGGAAGCGTGTGTAGATTCGAACCGTAATTAATCATGCCCCTAATGAAATTCCGTAGTTACTCGCCTCAAAGCACCACTCCACGATAACTCGCTTATAAATATATAAGATAAATGCTTGCATGCGTCGATACTTAAAATGAATGGGTAGGCCTTTCCTAATAGTGAGGAACCGGAGGCGATAGTGTACACTAGCAAAAACGAAGCAAAAGGAAAAAGTAGTAATAGTAAACCGGATAGGCAGCACTTAGTCTCTAGTAAATTTTAAAAGAGGAGAGAGAACACTTACTTACAAGGGGGAAACAAGGTAGACTAAGAGATCCTTGTTCTGGTCTTGACAAGTTAAAGAAATAAAATAGGTACTTAGAAGACAGAACATAAATAATAATTGTTATTTTAAATAGCACACCTTGTATTTTATTGCATTTTCGAAATCTACATGAAAATCTACGTCGTTAGATACCACATTCCTCTATACCCAACATCCAAGGTTTTCAAATTATTCAAGATTTTTCAAACCTTTCCAAAATCGACAGTACTGACTTGATGCTGTGTGACAATGATTTAAATTTGTATCGTCCTTCTACGGGGTGATTTAAAACTAATGGTCAACTTTAATATCTTAAAATCTAAAGGATATATGATATATAAATTGTATATTACAGATATTAAAGAAAAAATCAACTATTAAAAAGTTCAAGTATAGGTAAAGAAACTGAGTGGCGAGGTTCGGCATTAAGAGACGATTGCTGATCTTCCACCTAACCACGAAAACAAAGTTATCAAAAAGAAAAAGATGATACCCTATAGCAAATAGTCAATTACTACACATAATTAGTTCGCATAATATGTGCTGCCAAAGGATGAAAGAAAGAGTATTATAATCAATACAAAAACGAAAACAGTATAGTTTTGAATTTTTCATCTTATTTTGAAACTTTGAAAAAATTAAATTAAAACACACGATCAGCAACGACTAACAACACAGTTAGAGAAAGTCCCCATTGGGAGCTTGGACAAAATCTGCTTATTCAAATACTTTTTAGCGCATTTTTGAAAAAAATACGCTATTATATTCGCTATTGCTGGCAGGCCGGCTGTCCGCGTGAGATCTCCACAACTACAATAGCTAGAGAATTCAAATTTTCACTAAAAGCTTTCTGCTATAGTGTAGATGTGCAGGCACTAGTCTATTTTGAGTTAGATTACTTGTGAGATCGATAATTGAAGAAAATAATTTCGATATGGGTTTCGGAGGTGCTATAATTTTACCGTTAGATAGCGCTACCAGTATAAAAACTTATTATTTACTTTGTGATTTGTTTTACAAAATGAAGACGTACCGTCAATTGAAATTAAATAAAAGATGACAAAGTGCTTTTAGGGTCATCTGTAGTCAATTTGCCTGGTTCTATGTAATTAGTGAACAAAATTGGCAATGTTTTTCAATACATTTAATTTAATCCCTTTATTTTCTGTTGTTTGTTCTAACCAATTTCATTGATCAAATGGTTTATATATTTTTATAAATATTAGATAGACATATGCATGATGTTTAAAAATAGGAATTAAAAATGAACTATATTTCATTTACCCAATATAAATCTCTTTATTTGCTTATAAGTGTGAACATATAGTTATTTTTTGCATTGTTATCAAATTACAGGACTTTTTTTGACGACAATTCAACTCATGTATAAAAAATCGCATAAGCCGCAGTGCAATTGTCACTTTGACAGCGCCAAAAGTTACCTGCAACTTTTCCAGCGACAAATGCACTAGTGGTTTTTTCACTTATTCATTTTCGAAACAATTATCGCATTATCCTTTCCCATATGACTAGTTTGACGTCTGTCAATAATTGACTAGTTTGGTGAATTTCTTGTTCGTTAAACTGTCCTGCCGAATTACACTCGAGGTTTGTATTTAAACCGAGTAAATTTTGGATTGTTGCAATTCAAATCTGTTTCCTTTTAGCAATTGAACTCGAAAAACTGTCAACCTAAAAATGCTCAACCTTCCGTGTTGCATTTTTATTAGTTGACAGTTTTTCTCGTCTAATTGCTAGGCAACAGATTTTCATTACCTTAACAACCCAAATTTACTCGGTTAAATACAAACCTCTTGTGCAACTATAAGTGAAAAATCATGGAAAGTGTTTCTTTTTTTCACGATTTTTACCTTGCGTTTCGATGGCGTTTCGTGCTGTCTATGACCAATAGCTCTATTGTTGAGTGACAGAAAATGGAGAATGTCAATGATATTATGCAGTTATGGGATATTAACTTAGACCATATAGTACATGGACTGCTATTAGCCCTATGCTTTCAATACAAAACGGGTGGTCACGGATAGAGGGCACTGTAGTCGTGGGTATGCATAGATATATAAATACATAGATACAGCCATACCCCAACATAGTTCAAAAGGACGTACCATCTATTACCATCACTTTCGGCACATTAATTACGTATAGCGCTATCCTTTATAGAGGTACCCTGAGCATGGAAGACAAGATTCGCATTATTTATTATAACTGTCAATCAAATTGTTAGCACAAATCACACAGAAAATTATCAGATTTGAGACTTTACAACATAAATAAACCGCCTTTTTATTTATTTAAATCGCATAGCAGCAAGAAATGTTACATTTAAAATGGAAGATGTTACTTAGAAAACTGGCAAATGAAGAATTTGAAAAAATTACAGCTGACAACTGGAAGAAAGTGTGTGAAGATGTGGAAAGTGATTAATTTAAAAGAGAAGTTATATTGGTTGATGTTTCTGAACTTTATAATAAGTGTTAATAATGACAGTGATGATAAGGATTTGTCAATTTCATCTGACGATGATTCGGATTGTGAACTTTTACAAACGTAATGAATGTTCACTAAATGAGAATTATCATCAATTGGATATCATTGTTAAGATTTTGTATTTATTTTAAATAAATGTACACGTGTAGCTTACTACAATTAGCACTATAATTTCAAAAAGAAACCCCACCGATTGGACTATGCCGAAAGGTAGGCAAGACGCGTAGCGACCAAAATTTGATATTGCACGCACACAACAGTCTATAAATCTCGCTTTCCTAAGAATATTGCACGCATCCTTCTTTGTGATCATGATACAAACGCACTGCATCAACATCATATAGGCCAAAATGATAATTGGAAACGAATTCACTTCCTGTCGCAACTTAATCTCCGTTACCATTACGCCTAAAACCATGCAATTAAAATTAAAATGTTGAACATAAACTTTACTTACTTACGGTTTTTTTGATATTCTGCAAGCCAGCAATGAATTCACTGCAGCACATCATGCCAAACAAGGTAAACATAGTCCCAAATTTGAATGGCGTAGCTCTATGTAATAAAACTATTTCAGGAATAACAATTATGGACGCGTCTATCATTATGGCAATCACTAATGTTATTCGTATTCAATTGATAACGCAATAATTACATAATATTTAGTGAAAAAACCGCCCATCATGTTTAGGGCGAATATTTTTAGTTAGATTTGATTTCGCGGGATCGTGAAATGTGTCAACTGTCACATGACTTATGGGACGCGCTAAGTTTGTTTTAAGCGTCCGATTCGCGTACGACATAGTGGTTAATGCAATAAAAAGAGATAGAACATGTTTCTTCTTGGTTAGAAAGTAATGGAGAGATGTACAAATTTCTTAGATATGTTTTTTAAAAACCGAGGTACGTTTGTTAAGGATGGCTGTATCTAGGTATTTATATATCTATGTGGGTATGTGAATCTCAGGGTAAACTAAAGTCGTATGAACACCACTCGGATCGCGTAAAGAGTAGCTTTTATAGTAACCGCGTAGTACGGGAAGCTTTAAATACTCTTGATTATCTTCTATACGTCCACAAATAAGAATAGGTTTGCTTTTTTTGGCATATCTAGGCGATTAATTAATTGACGTTTGTTAATTTATAGGTTGACAGTCTCAAATCGTGTCTAATCGGACAACTTCGGACAGACTCGTTTACCCTGAAACTCACATACCCAGGCGATGTCCTTGACCATATTTTAGTTACAATTAGCAGTCCATGTACTATATGGTCTAAGGATATTAAGGATCACTATGCAAAAAAGTTTCGTGTAGGTACAACACGTGTTGAAAGTATCTTTTTTTCATGAATTTGCAGTTTGATTAGTGAGGGGAACAGCGACAGACCTCTTTCTGTATGCCAGAATGCCCAAGTCTTTACACGGTCCACGCGCCCCCGTGATGTCAGCAATAGAGTTACAGATCGGATACTGGCAGATAGCAGTCGCATCCACAGATAGAGACAAGGCCGCCTTCATATCTCATATGGTACTGCATCGTACAAATGAATGCCTTTTTGGCCCCATTCCTTAAGGAACGCTCCCGCCACGTTCCAGCGTCTAATCGATCACGTGAAGGTCCAATTAGTCGGTGGTAACTCCCCTGGCCTACCTGGACGACACCATAGTACCTACTATCCAAGGACGTGGAAACGTCCCGCCGCGATCTTCACCCGCCTAAAGCATTTCCACTTGAAGGTAAAGACGAAAACGTCGCGAGGGAACAAGCTACCTCGGGTACATCATCACTCCAACCGGTATCAATACCGATCCTGCGAAAACAGCCGCCATCGCAGAACTTCCGGTACCAAAAGACCTCAAGCCCAAGCGCCCTTTATACAAGCATGATGCATTATCATTTCAACCGGACAGCAACAAAAGGAATTTTACGTTAAATATCATGCGTGCGAAACACGTTCCAATCTTAAAAATGTTAAAAAGACCCGTTGTGGCTAGTTTCTGTTAGTGACCCTACGCCCATTCCTCGTCCTCATTGGAACGGTTTCATGCGTAAAATTTCCGGACATTTTGAAAATAAGAAAACGTCAACTGTTGAGCCAGTGCCATGTTATTAACTTAAATCCGGGTAATCTAACTACAATTAAAACAGCCTTGAAATTAGCAGCGGATCAGTGCAAAAAGAATGGACAAAACGTATTTTTCGTTACATTAGACCAGCATTTTTACGCCAAATCCGTAGAAATAATCGCGCAAATGAGAGGAACTTCCAAAAAAAACCAAATCACCTTAACACCTCACCAAAATCAGTTAGTTACTAATTTTGCCGAATTTAGGGCATTTCTTTGTGTAAAGTGCCTGGGCTATAAATGGAGAACCAACTTGGACAAAATCGATTTCATGGAACAAGTTTATGCACTAAAACTAAAAAAAAAAAAGAAGTGAGTTTAAAGATTTTCAAAATGCACCCAAAACTTTGGCAGATCATATTTTTCCTCACAGTATAGGCACGTCAACCTAAAATACCTGCCATTAAAATGCTCTCATGCAGAACAAAATGGAATGGTGCATGCACTTTGACAGAGTAATTTCAAACTCTATTTTTACACATCCAATTAACATCGCTCAAAAAGTAAGTGCAATTCCTGCTTTTGTACTTGGGAAACAATAGTAGGTATGTAAATTTTGTACAAAATTCTCTGAAGCAATTCTTAGAGGCACTTGATAGTGACGTGTTGTTTGTTTTCCCGTCCAAATCACATATCACTAACACAAGAACATTTCGAAATGTGAAAAGCGCATTCTAATTTAAAATAGAACAAAATAGCTATTGGTGGCTTTAAATTTCGTACGTTAAGCCCATAACGCCCACGTCAAGTTGGTGTTGATCTTTTCGCGAGTCTTTAATATAGGACTTGGACATACTCCAAAACAATTTCTACATGTAGAATTTACACTAACGACCGAGTGTTTAGTATTTCTCGATAGTTCATGCTGTTCGCCTAGAAAAATATGTTAATAAGTAAACAGTACAAGCACGGATGTAGCAATATTTTTAAAAGTTACAGTGTAAATCGTTCCGTACCATATTAACACTATTGGATCCATTACAGTACGAGTGTAATAATGGTATTATAATTCATAGTCAGTTGTTAATAAAATAAGGTGAGACACTTTTTTTAATTCCTTAGTTCATTGCATGTAAGCCTTGGGATTTCAATCCCTATCTACAGTTTCTATTTTTATAGCAATTTTAAGTGGTCACTCTATTATGCAAGACTGAACCTATTCTATACTGTAAGTTAAGTGATCATCAAATGAATCTGCAATAAAAAATGAGAAACATTGGGGGACATTAGTCATTAATGTGACCATTAAAACTATGCACGTCGAATTAAAAAGACTGGATCTCAAAGCATACGCAAAGACATGGAAAAGAAAATCTGTATTAAAAAAAGAATAACATGTCGTATTTCAGTTTATTCTTGGCACATGTTGAATTTGCAACAGCAATTTACATATTTCTAATTTATAAATGAGCGATGACAAGCTAAAACTATAAATGCGACCAAATTTACGAAAACTCATTCATAGATGAAAGAGGTATCGTGGGATTTATTTTTCGAGCATGTGTATAAAGTGGTAGTGTAAATAAATTCAAGTATAATTCTTTGACAGCATATCAATCATTGTTCATAGGTTGTTACAAGAACGGTAGAATGAAGCCAGGATTGTAAAACGGAAGTTTGGAAAAGCCTTCCGTGAGTATCGTGCAACGACCTTATTAGACTTGCTTATGAGTTGTTTCTTTATTGAAGAAACAGAATACCCTGAACATTTTTGGAATTGGTTTTATTACTATTGACGTAAAGCGACTTAACATGTCATACTTTAAACTGCGCATAGTACGAGAATAAACCAATACGTTTAAAGAGGAAGTTGTATATTTTTGAATCCCTTTTTTGTAAAAATTTTAATGAAGCGCAAAAGTCACAAACCATTTTCACGTGTATGCTCGTACATCTGCCAAGTGGGTTGGTACATACCTATGCTTAACTGACGATGACAAATTGATATCGCATGGTGTTGTAATTAATTTGAATAAGAGGGCAACACCTGTAGAAAGGAAAGAGGTAGTTCCGCACCAGACGTCCGCAATAATGGTTAATAGGAAGTTAATGAAATATCTCCACTTATAGGTACAGGGCTTTCATTTCAAAACGAACCACGCACCGATTGTAATTTGTAATTTTAATCTAAAATTGCAAGAACACGTTTAATGGAATGTTTACCTTACACATTAGCATCAACCTCCATCGAGTGACTTGTTATTCTAAAGACCATAAAATTGAGCAATGCCTTTAGATGTATCCAAATTGCGTTTATATCCTTCTTTTTAGTTTTTTGGTACTTTTTGCTATTTGTTGTATGTTGTTCTGTGCTGTTTGTTGTTCGAGGTAGTTAAAATTGTTTAGTTAAAACCTAAGACATTTTTGTATGGATCTGACACCCGCCTAGAAATCCTCGACCATTCAATGAAGCGCATTCCCTGAAGATTAAGAACATCGGGAATAAGTATGTAAGGGATAGTATACCTAATGCCGTATATCTGTGTTAATGCTTTAGGTGATACAATCATAGAATTACCAACAATGAATGTTCCATTCTTTACAAAGCATGTTTCTAAGGCAGCAAAACAAATACTACTGCCCTTTTTTCTGTCCTCTTATCAAACTATGGAATCGAACTCGAACTTTCAAAGGCGATTCGACAGCACCTCATTATTGATCGCCCGTTATCTTAACTAAGTGCATTGATTATTATTTATTGTGTAAAACAGGGAAGCACTAACTACTATAGGTACCTATGAAATCCTATGCGCCAGCATGACCCCTGACAAAAGTTGTTTTTCTTATACAGGGTGAGTTGTTTTCCCCGATGTTTAGTATGGGGATCACGGGAAAAGAGCAAATGGAGAAAGAATTCAAATTTGGCCAGATAATTTAATTAACTAGATAATCTCACAAAATTTGTTAGTGCGTATTACTTATGGACTTTACAAAAAATGTGTACAGGAAAAAGTCTCAATAATACAGTTTAATTCGATTGATGTATTGTTCCATCGTTCCTTTTTAAACGTGTTGGTGATTAGGATTTGAATTAAAGAAAAAATCTTTTTTAGACACGTTTTTATATTTACTAATGCGGCTATCGATTTCAACCTATATTAGGTCATCTTCAGGCCGAGCTATAATATATTTTTTAACGATACAATTATAATGTGGTGAAATCTTACCGTCATAATGGTGAAGTGAAGGTGAAGTATTATATGCACCCTTCACTTCACCATTATGACGGTAAGATTTCACCACATTATAATTGTATCGTTAAAAAATATATTATAGCTCGGCCTGAAGATGACCTAATATAGGTTGAAATCAATAGCCGCATTAGTAAATATAAAAACGTGTCTAAAAAAGATTTTTTCTTTAATTCAAATCTTAATACAGTTTAATTCAGCTCCAATTTTTGAGCTATAACACAAACGTGTTTGTTTTTCTGACGGAAGCTGCCATTCTTCTCACTTTTAGCGTTTATTACTAATCTAAGATTAATAACTTTTCTTTGTTTTTTTTTCGCCTTCGTCCTGTAATTGGGTGTTCCTGTTGGGCAAATAAAGCATTATTATGGTCGGTGTTTCTTGTGAGAACTCAGGTCTAGCCTGGTTAACTAATCGCACGGATTAAAATCAAGTAACGATTAGTGTCTGTGTCTGGTGAAGTTATGTAGGGTCATTAAAAAAAAAAAAAAAAAAATCACACACGTACATTGGACATCTAGGGATAGTATGTAATTCGTACTTACCAACATACCTATTGATGGGCACAATAGCCAACGCTATCAGGAAAGAGGAAAACAAAACAAAACAAAAAAATAATTCCTGTAATTTTATTAAATGGAGTTTATTGTGTAAGTGTTTCTTTGGCTTTGCGTTTGGGTTGAATTATTATTATGGTCGGTGTTTCTTGTGAGAACTCAGGTCTAGCCTGGTTAACTAATCGCACGGATTAAAATCAAGTAACGATTAGTGTCTGTGTCTGTGTCTGGTGAAGTTATGTAGGGTTCTAAAGAAAAATAAAAAATAAATAAATAAATAAAAAATAAAATAAATATTCACACACTCACATTGGAAATCTACGGATAGTATGCAATTCATACTTACCAACATAGCTATTAATGGCCACAATAGTCAACGCTATCAGGAAAGAAGAAAACAAAACAAAAATATCATTATAATAATTCCTGTAGTTTTATTAAATAGAGTTTATTGTGTAAGTGTTTCTTTGGCTTTGCGTTTGGGTTGAATACGAGTGTGGGTTGTGATAACGTGGTGTGTTTCTGTGAAGAAGGAGTTTTGTGTTTTTTAACTGTGCTAGGACGTGTAACTTTATTGGGTGGACCTGTCTTTGTAGTGCATGTTGCGTTTCTTGTATTTATGGTGTTTCTTTGTTCTAGAGGTTGTATTTGTGTGGTTGCTTGGGTTTTTGGTGGAGATATTACAGTATGTTGTGAGCATGGTAGTTCTGTTAAGGTTTTCGCGTTTCGGTTGTATACTATTATTATTATTATTATTATTATTATTACTTAAATAAAAAAAGAACCTTTGTCAGCGACCACTTAACATACTTATTTTGATAAACATAGAAATTATGGACAGTTTTCATTTTTTGAGTCGCATAATTATGCTATAGAATTGATAAGTGTGCTAATTCAAGATAGTTTAAAAAAATTGTTGTAATCACGAAACTATAAACATTGATTTACGCATATATACTCTTATAAGTTGCGTAAGGACTAAACAAGTTGTAAATCAGCATATGCATGATGAAAGCGCATTTTTGGTAATACCGAACAGGTCTCTAGCTATTGTCATTGCTGAGATCCTAGCGGACAGCCAGCCAACCAGCCATAACATAAACTACAATTATTATTAACAAAAATTTCAAACAGATTTTACGCAGAAAATGGCAAACGAAAAATTAGGAAACAAAAAAAATTAAAACATGAATAAAGGGGTAAAAAAATGTGATTTAAAGGAAGTATCTCAATTATTTAATATTAAAGATGTTCAAAAAATCCGCCATGGTGCTTAATGCACAAGTTACATATTTTTAAAACGGAATTCGTTGCTTTTCTAGCTAAACGTCCGTCAATATTAGCAAAAGCTTCTAATACAGCTTCTCTAAGGTCATCTACTATGACATTCCATTGAGTAAATTCTTCACTCAGCGGTCATACGATGTTTGGGTCACCCTGCTTTTAACGACTCTAAAACAGATCAGGGGATCGACGTGGACAAGCAACAGGGGCGTTTCTTCCTATCCATGAATTAAGAAATATTTCGTTTAAATAATTTATTACTGTTATTTGATTATGATATGGTGCCCCATCGTGTTGAGACCATTTCAGCATACCAAGTGTCTGTAAAGATAATTCGTCTAACATCTTTCAAAATCGTTCTGCAGAAAGTGAAGATAACGATCACCAGTCAAAAATATTGTTGAGCCAATGATGCCGCACCATACACTCTTTTGTTTGAACACGATGCGGATTTTCTCGCATCCATAAATGTTTATTATGTCTATTAAATATGCCGCAGTTTGTAAATCCTGTTTCATCCGCCGATGAAACTTTAAATCGCGGATCACCTCCCAAAAAGTATAGAAGGCTGGCGGCGATTAAAGTAGCGTTAGAATTTATCGTGACGCTTGAATGGCGTTTTTATGGTACAAAATGTAACAGTCATCACATGTCGCTTTTTCTCATTAGAAAAATTCATAATGATATTTTTTATTATATATTATATTATATCTCCGTTTTAAACACTCAAATGCGCGCGAAAAAAGGCCTTTAAAGCACACGTGCTTTAAAGTTGCTAAGTAATGATACTTCAAGTATGACTTTTGAAACTGTCATCTGGGTGAAATAAAAAATCCTCTTAGGTCGTTTTCTGTAAATGCAGAACATTTCTTTGGCTTGTACCTATCCTTTTGTTGAAGTTTTCACAAACGCGCGTAATTTAGGGTATGCTTCCAAATCTGTTCCACTTTTTAATCGCAACATTGTTTGAAGTTTTGAATGAATGCACCAAAAGATAGAAGATTTTATACCTTTGACATTTCCTTCATATAATTATGCCAGCATTATCGATGCATTTATGACTTTATTCGTAAGTTACTTCCTATGCATTCATGGAAACAACTTTTCACATTCTTTATAATAGGCTTTACTGGAGTTGGATTTTATACCTACCAACGTTTGTTTAGATTTTACAACACGCGATTTAATGGACGGTGTATTATCTTTTTCAACGGAAATCGTTTCATTCACAAAGACGATGATTTTTATAAGCAAACGTCAAGTGACATTTCCGTGGCACCCAGCCCACTTAATTACACATGTATTCGAGTATAACGTCAATATGATTTCATTGTATTTTCTATTTTTAAATTATACTGCAGGTATAATAAAAAATACTATAAGATACACGTGTATAATTGGTCTTTAAAGCACTTGCAACGTTAAAGGCACTCCGCTTCGCGTCGTGCCATTAAACTCATTGCGCGTGCTTTACAGACTTGATTATACACTTGTATCTTAATATACTATTAAGAAACCTCAAATTAATAACTTTTAATAACTGCAGAGTAAAATTTTGTTATGCCCATTTATCAATTGCTTTCATAACCTATTACTTAAGTAATACGACACTAAAAACGAAGTATTTTATGTTGTGAGAAACGCTGAAAAAGGCCATTAGAAAAAAATACCACTTCGATCATAACTCAAAAATTAGAGCTTCAATAAAAAATTTGATTTAGACTATATTTTTGAGCCCATAATGATCTACAACTTTTTCCTTTATCCATTTTTACTATAGGCACTGAACAAAACAACCAAAAACCATTTTTTTTAGATATCTAGTTAGGCCTGCATTTTTTCAAAAAAGAAAAGCTCTGAGCTGGTAAAATTACATCGGATAACAACTCCCTGTTACAATACAATATTGCTTGACTTTAAAGTCGGGAAAGAAATATTATATTATTAGATAGCAGAGGGTGATTATCAAACCTTTTATGCACAATGTTTGTTGGAATATGCGTACAATAATTATAAGCTCATAATCTCGCAATATCAGTTTAAGATTGCGAGTTATCCACTCGACGTCAGCAGTTAGATAAATACGGTTTAAATTTTTACAAATCTGTAGGTGTTCACTATTTCATCCAGTAGGATTTAGCTAGTACATCTATTATGAGGGCGATTGCGCAACTCATTTTGAGTATACATCATTGACACTTATATCAATGTGGATGTTAACACGGCAGGCTTCTATATCTTTGATCTTGTAAGATGACCTATTTTTCAAAGAAAAGATCAAAATAACAATAAAACATATACTAATCTCAATAGCAAATAGAAAAGCGTCGGAAAACTGCACAAATTCCCATTTATACCGCTTATTTACAGTCAGAAAAGCACGGGGCGCTCCGGAGCGATGCAACCTAATGAGTGCAATGCACGAGAGTAAATTAACGGGTATTTACTTACCAGTCACTTGTCCTTTTTGCGTAAATGCGAGAGTAGGTGCGGGTGCTACATAAATTGTTCGTTATTTTTGCACCTTTTTCATTCAGAATATGACCAATATATTCTCACGATCAAAAAGATAACGACTTCGCATAACCTATTGTATTGTTTATTAAGCGACAGAGCAAAGTGATACAAGCTTTTTAGGACAGTCGATTCTGTCTGTCTGTGAACAAGATAACCGGCAAACGCTTTGACCTATTCGGTTCAAACTTTGCAGTTGACCTAAATGCTTATTGAAAAAGGGTCAAATTCAATGATCCCGTAAGGGTCACACCCACCGCTCTGTCGCATTTCTAGATCCGCTTTACACGCGGTTTATTACCTGAAGAGTAGTTAATCGTATTCGATATACTTGACTAGAGTAATATCTACAGTGATCTTAACTGATGCATAATTGTTTGCGTGTGCAGAGTTGGACTGGGTCAAGCATAGAGTGACCCAGTGACCCGGTGACCCAGTGAGTTTACCGACCCGGTGACCCAGCGGCCCAGCTTGACCCAGTGATCAAGTTTGACCCGGGGACCCAGCTTGACCCAGTGACCCAGTTTGACCCTGTGGCACAGCTCGACCCAGCGACCCAGCTTTATCCGGTGACCCATCTTGACCCGGTGACCCAGTTTAAACCGTTGACCCCTAGGTCTTAAGGTTAATTTTTATTCAAATTTTTAGCATTAGGTTTGTATTGGTATTTACATTTTGGCATCCAAAACAATTTCAAGTAACTTTTAATTTAAAAAAAAACTTCCTCAATAATATTCGCCAACAAGCACGTAGCCCGATTTCATTCAAGAGAACTAATACCTAAAAAAATCAAATGCATTTCTTTATAGTTTGTAGTCAAGTAGCCAATGAAAGTATTTAGAGAAAAGATTTATTTGGATTAAGCTAACTGGTAGAAGAAAATTAAATGTGAATGAACACCAGTAAGCAACTGGTAAGCCCTGAAGCAAAGAAATGAAGGGTGGAACTGTTCAGAAATAACATTACTATAATACAATTCGGGACATGGAAAGTTTTTTACGGCAGTATTAAAGCAAACATCACAAAAATGGCAATTGTCAAGCAATCCAGTATTATTTTCAACAAACCAGCATTAAGTTTCATTTATTTCATAATCTGTACACTTGAACCGAGGTCTGACTTAACTGCGTTATTCGATCAAACTAGGTTACTGGGTCAAATTGGGTCCCCGGGTGAAATTGGGTCGCTGGGTCAAACTGGGTCACTGGGTCCTACTGAAGAGAGTATGACGTGACCCAGCGACCCAGTGTAATTCAGTGACCCAGATGACCCAGTCCAACTCTGTGCGTGTGTAGGTTAAATCGTCCCACTGAATTGTTTTTCTTATTTTTCAGGTTGAACATGAGAAACTGCGTTATACTCCTCCTAGGTTTAGGTCTTCTGTATATAGTAATTCAAAAAACTGAAGCCACAACATGTTGTCCTCCATCAGATACAATTATGTCAAAATACAATTGCAGCAATGGGTCGGAAATAACCACAATTTCTTGCAAACAAAGAGATTTTATGTTTGCGACATTAGATCGCCCACTTCTATATGAGATCGGCGAAGATGACGTCTTAATTGTAACCCGAGATGAAGATTTGGGATTTATAGTCATGAATCCTGACCAGTAAGTGTCTGCGCCCTTAACCTGTTATACATTTTGGACGTAGGTACTGCGTAGGGTTATCTGCGGAAAACGAAAGTGATTTGATAATCATTTGTATGCACGACGACGAAACAAAACTAAATGAAACAATAAGCGTAAAGTGGCAAATTTTGGGTTACGTAAGGATGATTTGCGCACTGGTGTCCGTTTTTTCTTTTGGATTGATTGCGTTTATATACATTTATCTACCAGAATTGCAAGACATAGAGGTATTAATAACACAAATGAATCTTCTCTCATTTAACGTTTCAGGGGAAATGTATAATCAATTTTTCAATATCACTGGCAATCTGCCATTTTCTGCAATGTATTGCACCAATAATTATAGTCAATTACGAAGATACGTGCGACATATTTTCTTTTATGAACAATTACGTACTTCTATGTGGATATAATTGGTTAACAGTTATGTCGATTCACATGTGGAGAATTACTATGTGAGTACTTGGTCCATATATGACAGTAAATTGCTGGTTCATTTTAGGCAACCCGTTTTCCGAAGACAAATGAACTGGTTTCTTATTTATATGTGCTATGGCTATGGATTACCAACAATATTGCTCATCACTTCATTAATATCTCATCTAACAAACAAAATGGAGCTTGAAAAACGGATTGAAGTTCAAATGGAAAACGATGAATGTTCGCTGGAGAGTGAGTATTTGAAATTATACTTTCTCCTAAACTTGTTCTTTGTTTTTGCAGATTCTGTAATTGTTTGGTTTTATTTTTATGCTCCCCTCGCGATTTTAGTGTTAATATCGACCGTTGTGCAATTATGGGCAGCGAAAGTATTGTGGATAGACATATACCGAAAAGATAATCCTTCAGTTGTTTATCTTCGCAAAAAGTAAGTAGGTTGAACGAATGAACTTAAATACCTAATTTTAATATATCAGGAGCCACATGTATTTGCACGCTTTAATTGTAATGGGATGCTTAACCGTCGTTGAACTGTCCCTCTATCCTTTGCAATCTTCGAACAAAGACGAGATGCAGTTAGCATTGTAAGCTTTCATCTATTCGCAAAAGAAGAACTGTTAAACAACTCTTTTTTCAGATACATTATAGATTGCCGAAATTTACTCATTGGTGCATCGGTGTTCTTCGTCTTTGTACTTTTGAGAAACAAAGTTCGTAAAGCTCTCGCTAAGAAAGGATTGTGCTGCATCACTTTTCCAGATCATTGGAAAAAATTAATAGACGAGGAAATACATGAACGAGATAGAGAAAATGACGAAACTAGATTGACCACGATGGACACTAGATTTTGAGATATGTATCAGTTTTTGACCTTTAATCGCGGAAGAATACATTTTTAGATGTAGAGGTCGGGGTCGATGTCAAGGTAGCCCACTGAACTGAAGGGTAACCTTAACAAGTATTGCCATTCCCAATAAAGTATTGTTGAAATTCGAGTAAAGAATTGGTTACTAAACCTTTGTACTATAATTTAAGAATTAGTATTCATTGTAGAAAAAGAAATATATACCGTAGAACTAATATTTATTTTTATTGGGGAACAACTATATTTTAGGAAAAACGGAAACGGTCATCAGGCCAAAAATTAATCAGTATAATCAACCAAATCAAATGAGTGTGGTAAAGTGGCGATTAATAAAAACAGTTACGTCGATCTTCGCATCGCAGATAGCCGCCCATTGTAAAACTGGTCGCATGTGAGGTACACTCAAATTAGGCTATTATATTCTTATCTCTATCTGGCCCATGCGAAGAAAAAAACATACGCTTTGCAGTGGGCGGCCACCTGCAACTGCTTTTATACTAGACGACGAGTAGATAAGATGAAATAAAGAAATCGGCCGATTCGTGAATACAACCCCCCCCCCCTCGACAGCCACTCATTTTTGATCGCCCGTTATATAAAAAGCGAACTCCAGCGTTTGGCTATCTAACAGTGACAATAAAGGGTAGGTACCTCATAACACGTAAGTGTAGGTCACATAGTGAATTCTTTTGAGTTTGACTTCTTTTGGGTATTTGCTATTACAATTAGAAAAGTCCACTGTTAAAAGTTCAAAAAGATCGCTCCATGCCTGCAATCTATTTTTATAGCGCGCGTTCTGTTCGCTGTTATTAGGGGTATTTAGATAGCCCGTTATTAAAAAAATATGTTGTTTTAAATTTCTGTCAATGGTTTCTTAATAAAATTGGCGTTCTACTCCATGTTTACCGTTTAATCGCATGGGACAGGTTACTGGCAACAGTCTGACGGGCGAATACACAATTTTAACGTCATTTACGTGACCAATAGACTATACAGCTGTATCAGAAGTACTCATAGTGGTGCTCCGACGCAGCTTGAGAAGCGCGAACTCGGAGATCCTGAAATCTGATGGGTTTTGATTAATGGTCCTTATGCGCACGTGATTAGTTTAATTAGGCGCAATCTATTGGTTAGTGATTAAAGATGGTCGACCTATTAGCGCCATTTTGAGGCGTGTTGGGAAATTAGAAAACAGGCGTTTGATTCAAACGAGAAACTGCCATTGGTGATAATAATAATAAAAAGTGCAAAGGCTGACGCAAAATAATTTCAATCAAGGTTAGTCCGTGCGATTTTATAAAAGCAATATTGCGCAATAGGAACGAAGGAAGTTAAAAGACCAACCTCCTGATTATTGGTCGCTGCACTGTCCGGGCAATTTCTTCTATTTATTTATTTATTTTTATTTTGCCTTTATTTTTGAGTGGGCGGGGTTTCAGCCAAGGCTGCTCTACCAACCCAACCCACTATACATTTACAAATATCCATGCCCGAACCCGAATTCGAACCAGGGACCCTAGCACCACAGTCCAGCTTCAACTGAACTGCGCCACACGGGCCGCGTCCGCTTTTACCATAAGCCCAGCATCGCAGTCCTCGTCGTTTTGTTCGTTGCTGCTCCATTAGCCTTCTAGCTTTTCGTTCTTTTCTTCTGTACCAATTACCACGACACGTTTTCTTTGCAGCATTAAACTCCAGGGCAGGCACCTAAGCATTGTCCAAGATTTCATGTCGAGCAAGTTTCAAAGCCTGTTGCGTTTCCACATCGCGAACACCATCGATGAATGTCTGCACCGTTAGCTGCTCTATAAAGCTTTTTTCGGCTTGAATTCTGCGTAATAAACCTGCTGCAAATGTTTGTCACCATATCGAGCTTCCAACCGTGGTACAATTTGCGCGAAGTCCTAAATGCATCGATAATGTAAATGTATGTCAAATAAAAATAATTCACTGACTGACATACTAATTTATTTTCGCCGTTTATCTTGACGTGTAAGTGGACACGTGCTCCTGTGCCCTTTAGGACAAGCAGCCACTCATTAGGAAAGGAAGGAAGATTTATTTTGCGGGTTCGAAATTTGGCTTTGTCAAGATCTAGGATACGCAAATGAATTAGTTCATTTTTAATATTTAAAACATCATACACATATCAACGTAATTATGATAAAATATATAAATCATTTGACCAGTACGTTTGATTAGAACAAATAACAGGGCATCGATAGTATCATACAAATGTATTGGAAACTGTTCGCCAACAATTGTTAATTTTGTCCACTAATTATTCACTAATTACCTGCTTATTCCCTAAAAATGATGTCATTATAGAAAAACGCAGGAAAAATGTTGGCTACACCTATTCAATAAATAAAAAATTCATAATGTAATATGATGTGCATTGTTGGTGGTCTAACCACTTGCAATAAAATTGGAATCTAAATTGACTATTGCGGAGTGTACGTATCGAAAGCTGAGTTTACATTGTAAATGCATATCGACAATTAGAATGTAAGTAGTTTGGTAGTTCCCCATTACAAAGTGAAACCAATCAATTTATAATAGTTACAAATTCAATGGTGAAACGACAAGCGACACGCAAAACATGTTTAGGGTCACTGATTGTGTGTAATCATACGGTTGTATCACGTGACATTTAAACAAAACAACGGTGGAAAGTGAAAACATGAAATATGAGAATTGCGGCATCTGCACATTGTTCGTTTAAAAAAGTGGAAATTATAAACTCCATACCTACACCAAAACGACCACGGAGCAACTGCTGTTAAAAATCGTTGAAGCGCAGAGGCACAAGGAAATTAAGCGGTTAATGGATTGTTGTCATCATAAAGTGATTGAAATAAAAATTGAATTACAATATGAATGAGTCATCTACAAAGATATGTAATGTTCAATATTTGCAATTTCAATTTACCCAAAACAGGTATTCCCTAATTATTAATAGTTAACCTCAAAATGTTAAGAATGGCATCAAAAGCATTAGTGAACTACTTGTGGTTGACCATTTTAATCAAATTTGTAAATACGATAGAATTGCAACATTACATATCGCACAAACCCGAAATAAAAATAAACAAATGTTGCGAGCCGTTTGAAATCCTACTTGACGACCGTTGCACTCACATCAACAAGACCAACGAAACGATATGGCATCCGATGTTTACCAGTGAGAATGGCAAAAAGCAGAATGTGCAGGTGGATTACATGTAAGTACTTCAATTACAATGATTCGATATTTACTGTGCGAATTAGAATCGTTACAGGAAATCCAGATTGTGGATCAATGCAAATATGGCACATTTATTACTATCAGGAATCGACAGACGTTTTGCAATTGTTACCGAATGGTGCGTTGAGGCACTACCCGCATTATGTGTCGCCCGAGGAAGATCTTAATAGGGAAATTATGTATCACGACTATCCACCTGGGAAATATTGCATGGAAAAGGTAGATTGATGGGAACCTTTTTTAAATATTTAATGTGCGAGGAGTGTGAGGCTAGATATCAATGTACATAGTTGTAAATTAATAATTGATTACAAGAATTAGGTACACTAAATTTAATTAGATATCTTATTGGAGTCTTAAATTAACGAAAACCAGAATTATTATTTTTTACTAAGGATTACAATGGCTAAATCAGAAAAACAATTAGGGAGGGCCACCCTATACACAGTGTTCATTTTTCGAGTGCCACTATGGGGATCTCACTTATCTTAAGAGATAGAAAGTTGGTTAAATTGGGGCAAAGTTGCAAATTTCCGTGCTGAATAAGAATCTGAAAAGAAATTTGAAATATCTTCAATAGTTTTGAGGATATCGCCAAATACGAAAATTTCTGATTTTCGTTTTTAATTTTTTTTCATGATAAACTAATCGTAGTAGACATTTCTAATTAACACATTATTCGGACACTTTTTAATGGAGATTTCAAATATGGCATCCTGTTTTTAATTACTTTCAAGATGACTGAGAAATGGTGGTTCAGTATCACATTTTTCCCAAAAAGAGTGCTTTGGAAAAACAAAACGTTCTTTTGTTGTTAATTTGGATATTAATTGAGAAATTAGCATTGAAATTCTAATTCTATACCCTGTATATTATACCTATCACATTTCTTAAAATTATGAAATGTTTCCACCGTCAGCCATTTTTAGTGATTGGTATCGGCTGCATTAGCTACCATTGATACAATAAACAAAACAAAACCTCGATGAATCCATGGCCCACTATTTAAAAACAGAAAAAAATGTTTTCATTAATTTTCATGGCTAAAATTAAAAATATTATAGATTGTGATATATCATGTAACCAGGAAGAATAATGCAGAAAAATTTAGGTTAAGATATATACAGGGTGTTGCATTTTAAAAAAAACCAACATTTAGTCAAATCTTAGAAATGGTGTCCTCTTTAGATCAGAACTTTTTTATTTTTTTAAATTTTGACTCTGAAAGCGCAATTAAAATGTTTGGTAGAATTTTTACACACACACAGTTGTTGGCATTAGAATTTTGTAGATATTGACTCAGGAGGGAGCTTTAGCATGATCAAAGCGCATTTCAATCAAATATCTATGAGGTGCATGTAATTCAGCCAACAATTGATTTTTGACGTACATTTTTTTGTATTTAATTTTTTGTCTTTTTTGATACATTAACACGCATTTTTTTGTCTGGAAACACGTTATTAAGAAGTTTTTTTACATATTACAATACAATACCCATTTTTTCAATGATTGATTACTTATTGAAGTTTTATACAGTGTGGGCCTTTGATAACTTACAATGGCTATATTTTTTATATCAATAAAGGATAAATGTGATTGTTGTAAAAGCTAGGGAGAATCCTAATGACGTATTTTTCAATAATTTCAATTGTTTGTTCCACGTACGCTATAAGCTATTTTTAAAAATAAACAAAGAACCAGATGGAAGATTAAAAATGAGGTTAGTTTTTTTATGGCCAATCAAAAGCAAGTTTAATAAGCTTTCTAGAGAAGAGTATTGTAATTTAAGATTTTTGCGTTAGTATGGGTGTGCTTAAAGGGGTGGTGGTAGTCAAAAAGTCATATGGATTCTCTCTGGTTTTTAAAGAAATGGTATTTTTTATTTGTTTGATATCTCTCATAAAAATATATAGTAAATTTTCAAAGGCCCACACTGTATACCCTTTTTTACTTGTGGGATTATGAGGAAAAACGCAAAAAACATTTGGATCAAGTTGTGAGTAAAAACATTGATATTCCTGATATTTCCAAAGTGGCGAATCCTTCTTCTATACTATAGCTGTATGCCATATCAATAACTAATTTTTGTTTTTTGTTTAACAACAGAAAAATAATTAGATGTTCCTTCTTAAATAAGATTTTTATTTCACGCACTACAAATTTTCTTTTCATTTATAATTAATTAATTGAATTAAATGCGTATGGCTCAATTGGCTTGAAATAAAATTTTTTCTTTATTATTTGTTTAGACACTGAAACAACAAATATTTTCCATTTTTTTACCAAACAAAATTCAGAGTTTCACTTTTCTTATAAAACCAAACTTTTTGTAGTTTTTTGCTTAATTCAAATACATTGTATTATCTAGCGACGCACCCCTCTCGCTAATGTTAAATTTGATTCTGATAATGTTGTGCTTTAGCATGTTAAAGGCTCATTGGTAAGTGAATACGCTTCAGTTTGCGCACCAGAGCATCGCACAGACTGGACAAGTTCGCCGTTTTTAATGCGCAACATAATAAGCCCAATTACGCATGGCATCAGCATGGCTTGTTTTTTGACCATCGCTATAATTTACTTTATAATGCCTACGCTACGCGATTTGGTGGGCAACATAATTACCACGATTTGCGTGTGCTTAATCGTGAGTCAGGCGGCCGACACGATTCGATTACTAACAGTATTCACTAACCACGTCAGTATAATCGCAGCAGGTTTGTAAAATACAATTCCAATGGACGCATTTGATTGCTTGTAATATTGCAGAAACGCTTTGCTACATAGCCTTGTTAGGTAGCTTCTTTTGGCTTAATAGCCTCGGATATTATGTATGGAAGACATTTAAGTATGTACATATCTAAATAATCGACACATAATAATCTATGTTTTAGATCGCGTAATGTGTTTTTACGCATTACTGATGGCAAAAAATATTGTTACTATTCTGCTTATGCTTGGAGTTGCACAATTGTAATGGGGGCGCTGGCTTTATTTGCCCATTACACTATGGACTACCAAGAGAAGAGCAAATCGAAATTCGAATACGAACAAGAAACTATTGGGTCACTAGGTATTATAATATTCTTTGTGCCAGTCTCTTTTACAGTATTAGTAAATGTATTCTTTTTTGTAACGACACTCAAAATATTAAATCGAATGAATACGTACGGACGAATACATCACAAGTTAAAGCATAGGTAAGATTGACTGGTTGTTAAATTGTGTTGTAATGAGAATTTTTTTGCAGTTTTCGCATGTTTTTATTATTATTTTTGGTAATGACATTGACATGGTTGTTTTTCTTATTATCGTTTACTCGATTTGAAGGCCTTGTATACTGTTACATCGTAATTAATGCATTACAAGCACCTTTATTTCTGTACATATGTGTGGTAAATCAAGCCCATGTCGCATTCTTAGTACAAAAAACTTGTTGTTACACCAACTGCGCATGCGCATGCTGTAAGCCTAATCCCGAATGTGAATGGGGCGACGAGATGACTGCTATGAATACGGGAGCATATTAATTTTAGGTGTTTTATTTGTGAGGGTGACATTTTTTTTAATTTATAATTTTATTTAAGACTAATTCTTGTTTGAGAAATGCCTGATCTGATTTTTAATCTCGTAAAATCTTATACAAATAGCTGTAAGTTTAAAATCTAATATATTTTTTTTATTTTCTTATGTACTTGAAATAAATAAAGTAAATGAAAATCGTGGAGTAACTTTATTTGTACGTGGAAAGTGGTACAAGGTGTAAATCAATGATACATCATAAATGAAAGGGATGATAGAGAGAATTAAAAGAAGTCACATTTGATACCAAGTGTCTACTCCCTTCAATTATTATTTCATCGCAATGATTCCAACAAGATCTTTAAGGGTTTGGATTTCGGGATCATATACCAGGTTGTTCATAAATCCTCATAAAAACAAATCCATATCGCCTCCGACCTGCCTCTGCAAATCCATCAGTTGGGATCCTTGCATAAATGCCAGAGGACGGAGTAGCATCATGATAGAAGTGAGAAAATTTTAATTTCAAACGTATATTAGAAAGCGCTACAATCTCACAGTAATTCAAATATCTTCACTAGCAAGCGTTGTAAGTTTCATTATTATGCATCCCCTTTTGTAAGGGTGCAGGGTAAGGGGATTTATATATACCACGATAAATTCAACATATTTTCTCATAAAACTCTTAATTATAGAGATAAAATATAAAATTTGGTTACAATATCATCTCCATAGAAATTTCAGACTTCTTGAAAATATAACCAACTCTCAAGCTCTATATCTTTTTAATAAACATTTCACAAAAAAATAGTGTAGGTATATCAAAGTTGTGTAGAATTTTATGGTCTACAATTTCTGTAACAATATTTTTTTCTAAAGTGAACCATTAAAAAGATATATTTGAAAAACTAAGAAACCAACCAAATTTCAGGGGTTTTGGGGGTGGTACAGGGGAAGCACAAAGAGTGGGAGGTCTTAGGGAGGAACTTAGATTCTTAACCACCAGATGACTGTCTATGACATGCTAAAGAAATCGGAACAAGGTACTTCTCATTTTGCAAGTTAAAACCCTCTATTCCCTGGACTACATTGGACAAAAAAAAATCAATTGAATTTCGATTTATCGGTTGTTTTGTTATCAATTTGCGCTCAACTTTGCGTGTATATCCTTTAACTAAACCTTCATTTTTCCAATACAACATAAAATATTCAACAACTTTCCACTCATTCATAAAACATTTATTTGCATGCTTAAAACTTAGGTGGCCTTAATAGCATTACTTACCTGCTTAAATAAATGCCCTTCCTGTCTCTGAATAAGATGAGATAGCTGACATCTGACTACCAAATGACAGTCATCTAAAACCGTATTGAAAAATCGTCTAGTGGGCAGAAGAGCTTCTAAATCGGTCACCAACTCCAGAAATCTCTCACAGTAATGAATCTACAAGACCGTATCATTAATCAAATCTCACTCTATTTAGACACCCTACCTTATCCTCAAAAACTGTCCCCTCTCTAGAAATAGTATCCAACACATTCAAAAACTTGAGCATTAATTTTTGTAAAAATGTTCGTTCCCAAGTTAACTTTTCAATCTGATCGGGTTTATCTTTTTTCTGTATCATTCGCCAATACTTTTTCCATTTGGGGAACGTTTTAAATTCGTATTCGCGCCTAGCAGGTTGTAGAGAAGTCCACATTGATAAGGACACTAAACGTTTCACTTGATCGCGACACAAAGCCACCTCCATACTATTAAAGCAATGATTTAGAAGCACAAGTAGAGCTGTCTGTTCTCGTAAAGTCACCTCTAACTCACATGCTAAGCATGCACGTAAAACTTGTTGAAAAAAGTTCGGAAAGTACTGATTTTTACTTTTAAAAGCATCCCACGCCTGAACACGTTCGCGAAACTTCTCGTTCAACATGACCACAATGGACATCATATGCGAGTGGGTAGCTTCTGGATGGTAATTAGGCCATAAGTAGTTTTCTAAGTATTGGCTGAATTCCAGAACCATGATACGACGGATGGAGAAACTACAACACAAACGTGAAAGGTAACGCCGCAAATAACTACAGCAACGTACTTGCTACCGCGAATGTCTTGCAAGTAGATATCCTCGACAACATTTGAATCAAAAGGTAGATGGTCCGAAACCGAATGTGGGGCCCAATACTTTTCTGCTAACTAGAATAGATATTTTTAGGTTAGTTTTTAGGAATTTGTATATACCTCTGTGATTCGATCGGCATTAAGTTGCTCGACAGTTGGTGCCACAATGCGTACTACTGGTTCGTCCATCGCCATGGTTTTTTTAGATTATAATATTATTTCACACCAATACAATGCACCAAGGAGTACTTCAAAATGTTAGGTTAAATTGTAAACAAATAATGAAAATAGTTACTTTTATTTTATGACGTTGGCAATATATATCTCAGACGGTGTTGCCAAAAGAATGGAACAATTCTTATACAGGGTATTGAAATCCATTTGTGACTTCATTTTTCAATTACAGGTCTTATCAAATGGATTACAAACCTAATTCGAAACTGTCAAATTGTCGTGTTTTTCTGCAAAAAATATCGTAAAAAATATTTAAGTATTCTAAATTTTCATTTAATTTAAAATTATAGAATTTGTATAATTAAAATTCTAAATTTTGCATTTTTGTTAAAAGATAAGGGCATTAAAAAAACATTAAAAAAACTTTTTGGGAAAGATAGGCACGATAATTTGAATATTTAACATCTCAAATAATGATGGATTCACCAATACAATAAAATGAGGATGAATAGTATACCTGCATTGAATGGGGTCATCCCGCCTTCATTTTTTATTTCTGATCCACAAAGTACATTAAAAATAAAAAGACCCGTGTGTCCTCAATTTTTATTTGCGAGTAAAATAAACCCAAAATTAATTATTGAAAAGCTGTGTTTTTAGTCCGAATTTGAAACGCTTCAGACTAAATACGTCACAAACCTACAACCAATCACGTAGAAGTGAGCTGGCAACCTTACGCGAGGGTCTGAGGTTTGTCACATTTGACGTTTTGAGAGGGATGTTTAACTGCATCTAGCACGAAAGTGACAAGTGCCTGTGACAGATGACGCAAGTTATAAATGCCCAAGGATACTATATAATATAAGGATTGCTCGATCCCTATACTTGTAATGTTGCTCGAGTTTAAGTCATATGTGACGTCACCAACGGACCTGGCTGTCAGAATTGACAGTTATAATTTGCTAAGTTGTCAACGTTTTTGCATTAGCGTTATAACTGTGTGTATGTGTTCGCTATATTGCAACAAAAATGCTTGAACGCCGGCGTGCAGTATTGGACTATAATAACAATTTCGGGTAGTATTCACATTTTACACTCAACTGGCGCTCATTTTAGCCAGTGTCAAGAAGAACGTCGAGAAATCGTTATTTTAAGATGGACAAAGTTGAAATAAACTGATTTAGCTGCAATTTCCATGGATGATGAAGAGTAAAAAAACCAAAAACGCAGGATGAAATGGGTTCACGATATTTTGAGTATGCGAAAAACTTAGAATCTTACATAATATAAAATACAAATGACAGTGATGCACAAATCTAAAAATCAAAGCATGCAGTGCGTCTGGGTCCGCCAGTGACGTCACTACACGCGGCGAAAAAATTCAGTGATCGAGCAATCCTTATATTATGGGTACGTTCCACTTAACGCCCGCAACGATCACGACGCCATTCTCCTGCAAAAGTCGTTATGTCATCTGAATGGTTCTAGGAGCTGATTGGTCGGGCTTATTACGTCACAGAGGCCGCCACAATCATATCGTTTTGAATAAACCTTTAAAACCGCACATGTTCATTATTTTTTTGCTAATCAGCCTCTATTTTTAAATAAACTTTTACTGTCCAAAAAAATGTTTTAGGGTTTCAGGTACACGCTTAGTAAATTAGAACTGCGGAATTCAACTATACTGTAAACCCCCATTGTAGCTTCTAGAACCTTTAATTAAATGTCTATATTTAAGATAAATACTTACACATCTCGCTCCACTCTAGTGTCACGTTCTAAAGTTCTTTCACCTCTACTTCGCGTGAGTTTACCGTGCTCAATTAATTGTGTAATTTTGTGCGTATGCTCAAAATGCACGAAAACGGTCGTAATTAAAATTTTGACAGTTTGTCATTTAGAATGTTCTATAATAGATGTCGCTACATGTGGTCATTCCATCACAAGAGTTTGAATGAAATTATTCCACTCCAGAATTATAGAATAGGCGACATTCTGTTGTTAAAAATAAAGCACGTATGACGCAATTCTAAGGTAGTAGTAGAAAATACATTAAGGGATGTTTTGCACATCGAGTGAATTAACTTTCACGAGATGGTTTGCTTAGTTTGCCTTTATCGTGGTGTATAATATAAAACTTTATTTTATAGCAAAAACCATATAAATCTTATAAAACTTCCGAACAATCTGAATTTAAGACATCAAAAATAGCAAACTTGGGTTTTTCCATCGTTTCTATGGAAACAGTATTGATATCTATTCTCAACTTCATTTTATGCCGAGATCCGCGTCCCATTTTTAATAAGAATGACAGATGTCATGTGCATTCCAAAACTTTCCAACTATTTGATGATAAGTTACCTAGCATCATTAGAGATTCATGGCATTTGGAAAGAGATTGCTTTTCTGATCGACGAAAGAAACATTAAGATAGCACTGCCTGCACCACATTATTGCAATTAAAAAAACGATAAATATAAATAGATAACAGTGACCTGAAAACTACTGTGATATACGTTCAGTGCACATACACTTATAAAGTGAGAAGTCAGTGCTACTTTATCAACAGATAATATGGACGACGTATATATTACCACAAAGTGCGGCACGCTTAAAGGAAAAATTGAAACGGATTACAAAGGGAATGCGTATTATAGTTTTCGTGGCATCCCTTACGCAAAACCACCTCTTGGTAATCTGAGATTTAAGGTATAAGTAACAGATTTCTCACATTTTATCATACCGACAACCTCGACTTAATTCTAATTCTAGAATTCGAGTGGAGGTTGTGGAGGTTTGAAAATGACTGCATCATAATTGCATATTGTACCATTATTATAGGCTCCACTTCCTCCAGACCCTTTAAACTACAGGGGCACGATAATGTAGATGGATCAGAGGATTGCCTGTTTGTTAATGTTTACACTCCAAATGTACCTATAGTTTATTTGTCTTTGTTGTATATCATCCGAACACTATAACTTTAGTTAGGAAACCGGAGTAATAGTCTCCTTCCCGTGATGTGTTGGATTCACGGTGGTGGGTTTTTATCGGGTTCTGGAAACTCCGACTGGTATGGACCAGACTATTTACTAAAGGAAAATGTTGTACTTGTAACTATAAATTACAGACTTGGAATACTAGGTAGGTAAATGAAATTTTAATCGTCGCACAACGTTGCAGTTTAAATTTAGGGTTCCTCAATTTCGACAATCCTGCACTAGACGTACCCGGGAAATGCTGGTTTCAAAGACCAAGTTATGGCATTAAGGTGGATTCAAGAGAACATTAGGTGCTTCGGTGGAGATCCCAATAACGTTACAATTTTTGGAAACAGTTCCGGAGGTATAAGCGTACATCTTTTAGTACTGTCGTCTCTCGCAAAAGGTATAGCTTGTTTATAAGTACTGGTAATACAAATGTACATACCTACCCATCATATCACAGGCTTATTTCATAAAGCCATTATGCAAAGTGGAACCGCTCTTGGAAGTTGGTCAGACGGAAAAAGATCTGTGGAATATTTAGAAATCGCTTTTAACATAAAGGCCAGTGAGGAAACTTTTCTTAAACTTCTACAGAAGATGCCGATTGAGGAAATAATGGAATTACAATCCAAAATTCCAGATGTAAGTATAAGACTGTTATCATAATTGAACAATTTCAGCGTTAAGCTATTTTCTTGAATGTTATTTGCAGATTTGCACGGCATACTCACAACGACCCTTTGGGCCGGTAGTAGAAAGTTACACATCTAAATCTTCATTTATACTAGAAGAACCTTTGACTATATTACGATCCGGTACCTATAATGATGTATCCCTTATGATAGGGTATACCTCCAGAGAATGCTTACTTATACACTTTATGAACAGAAACGCGAACGTTCCCAATAAAGGACTTGATATAATAACTGATTTCGAAATGGAAATACCAAGAACTCTAAATGTTATTAAAGGCACGTCGTTATCGAAACGTATGGCGGAGAAAATAAAATTTTTCTATTTAGGGAACAAAGAATGGGCCGACGAAATTAAAAGTCAATATTACTTGGTAATGTTTGGAGTACCTAC